AGGCAGATGGCTAGGACTGATTTGTTGTGCCTTGCTCCTTGTGTAGGTTTTTATCCCTGTGCTCAGAGGACATAAAATACTGCCAGATCAGATCTCTTGAGTTGTCCAAGTTTTATACAAGGCAAAATGACTAAATAAGGGAACAGATAGGCGAGAATCAGGCCCCATAATTTCCCTTTTAAACAAGAATTTTACACACTTAACAGTCTGGGGCTTGATCCAGATTGGTGCTGAGTGCTCTGCCTTCAATTCAGTCTAGTACTTAATGCACCTGCATGCAGTCCCATGGAAAGGTAATCACCTGGCCCTGTGCCAGCTTTTTCAAATAATTGTACTAGGATGAGAAGTCTAATGGGGTCATCTACATTTATCTCAACATACTTTGAGTTTGTAGAATGTCATACATGACTGTCATATGTGGTCAATAATAGTAGCACAGGGGATTTTCTACAGAACTCCCATTTGGAAGCTTCTTCAACCATCTCTCTGATCTTCTGCCCAGTGTAGACTCTGCGATGCTGCTGCTTACCTGTCCTAGGGGATATATTGGGCACTTAAACACAGGCAGCAAGGCTGCTCGGACATGTTGTAATTAAAGTGCGTTGAAGCAGGCTCGATTAACTAGTCCAGGGGCAGGCAATTATTTTGGGCAGAGGGCCGCTTACTGAGTTTTGGCAAGCCATTGAGGGTCTGATGACAGGCAGCCCAGGGCAGATTAATATTAAATTTCTAAATTTTTTTAGGGGCCCCACAGGCCAGACAGAATGGCCTGGCGGGCCGCATTTTGCCCACCCCGATCCTAGTCTGTTGGAGTGTGGTAATTACTGCTCTCCAGCAGACTCCAGCATCTTCTGTATCAGTGACCCCACACTGAGAAATGGTGGCGGGGCTGCTTTAACTAAAACTCGTTTCAGCTTTAGTTAAAGCACTCCCACCACCATTTTTCAATGCAGGGATGCTAGTACACGAGACACTCTGGGTGCTTTAATTAGAGCAGCTCTCAGAGCCACTCTAATGAAAGTGCCCTCCCACTCCCAGAGCACTGTATAAAATCACCCATTGTTGCTGGAATCATGGCAGGTTGCACTGATGGCTCAAAAAGTGCTTAGAAGGAATGGAGAATTGGGAAGAAAAGAGTATGTCAAGTCAAAGGAGGAAGCTTGCTGCCTCATGTTTGTCTGTTGCTTCTGATGTTTAAAGTAAACTGAAAATAATTCTTTTGTACACAAGTAGGTTCTTGTCACCTAATTAAGGTAAGCCACCTGGAATCGGCTTCTGTTGGTTATTTTAAGCAAAAGGAAAGAGGGATTTGCTGTGTTTCTAATGAGTAAGGTAATTTATCTGTCCTGCAATAGTGTTGCAGAAATGTCAAGTAGATATACCGTAATTATCTGACATGGGAGTGAAAAACTAAGCCATATAAGTGGCATTCTAGCAAGAGTTAATGCAGAACCATAGCTCAGATACCACATTCAGCTTATTGATAGTTCCTAATGGCAGTAAACAAAGAGCAGACAGTATGTGACAGTAAATTTACTTGCTCTAGATGGTAGCTTTCAGCCTTTAGCAAAGGGCGACTGTGCTCCAGCGTTGTTAGTATGTAGCTGTCTCATGAATGCAAAATACCCGGACTGTGAGTCCGTGCCTGATTTCTACAGATTTAGTGTTGATGAGCGGTGTTGAAAAGCAAGCTGTTTTTTCCTTCAGGCTCTCTTCAGACATAGTCTCTGTTTCTTGCTGTAAAACATCAATAATGCATCATTCATACTGGGCTCTGTAGGAGGAGAAGACTGTTGGTGTGATAAATATCACAGAGGTTTGATATTTCAGCAAAACTGCTAATGATATTCACTAACAAAGGCTTATGATTTGCAGAAGTACTGCTGGGAAGGTCCTCCTGCCCGCTCTTTGATATAAATATATAAATAGCTCGTGTGTTTTAAGTTATTAAAATTCCAAGCTATTTAAAAATAAAGCAGGATCCTGTGGTTAGGGGACTAGACTAGAACCTGGGAGAACTTGAGGTGTGTACTGTACTGTAGATATATTGTACCTGATGGTGGCATGCTCAAACGCGCTGTTCCACCGGGGTTGCCTCCACCACCAGACCTAGGATAGCTGTATTGGAGCAGTCTGATTAGCACTGTCCCTCAGCTGTGTGATTTAGAGGGGTCTCCCAGCTGTGCTAATTAGCCTCCCCTTGGCACTATGCAAACAAGACTCTACGGCTTCAAGTCCAGCGTTACCCTGCATGGAGAGGTGCAGCGTGTTTGAGGGCACCACTGGCACAGTAAGTTGGTAGAGCTGTTGTTGACTGAGGGCCATTTTTAATCTTTATTTTTAAAGCATAGCCCCCAGTGACTTCAACTGGAGATGGACAAACCAATACCATTTTAAAATCTGACCCTTAGTCTGCTTGCTGTCTTACTTCCTTATCTAGAAAGTAGGAGTAACCACACTCCCCTTCCTCACAGCGGGTTTTGTGTATGAATTTATCACAATGTTGTGAGGCACTCAGCTGCTATGGGCATGGGGGGCCATGTAAGAGCTATAGGTGTGTATTTCCAAAGCACCTGGAAGATGAAACAGGGGTTTTAGTTTTAATGATGACTACATGTGACAGTGAATTGATTATGTGATGGCGGAGGCAGTCATGCACAACCCTTACACACCCAGGGTGTGGTGCACTGCTGCTACTACCCTCCTTCTGTGTGGGGATAACTCCATTGATTGAAATGGATTCACACCTGCGGAAAACCACAGTGAATTGTGCTTGCTTTCTCCTCCTTGTTTAGGGGAAATTCACCAGCAAAGTACCTGCACCCACCCCTCCTCTTCTACCTTCTCCCCACCCCGCCTCCCAACAAATCAAGGTGTGTGTTGTGTGCTAGGCTCCATCCTGGAGCCTCATGCTTGTGCTGTTTGAAAAGGTGCTGGGTTTGACTACTCTGAAAGCTATCCTTAACGTCTGCATAGATAGCATATTGTAAATGTGATGGCTGCTGCTCGGGAAAGGCAGCAGATCCAAAATGGCAGATGAGGCTGGCAGTGGCCTTGAAGCTTCTTGGTGAGAAGACGGGTTCCTTGCACTTCCTCTGGCCTGGTTTGGACCTCGGAGAGAAGTTCTGGCCGCCTTCTGTTTTTGAAGAGTCCTTTATGTGCCTGGCTGCATGAGCTCTGGTTGATCATAAGGGAACTGTCTGAAGAATCAGACAAAGGTTATCTTCTGTGAAACATGGATGTGGTTGGCAGTGAAGATTAAGCCAAGCTTGTTATTTTGTCACCTACGTTCTGCTTTGAGCGCATTTCTCACTCGCATCTGATGGACTCAGTAGTGCTGGTGAGACCCAGTAAATTGTGCAGAGGGATTCCTTCACCTTCATTCACATTTACTAGTATCTCACTCTGCAGATAATCCCACTTCTCTTGGAGCCACAGCCTACACAGGT